CACACACAGGCAGCCACCTCACCATAGCCAGCTACCAAGACAGCACCACCCTGTCCCTTCCCACATGGTTCCTCAAATTCTCCCATTCATCCTCTTGGCCTCTTAACTAGTTACCCTCTTTTCATATATAAATAAAACTGGAGCTTATAATACCAATCCAGGGCCATCACTGACACCATGGCATGAGTTTGGCTATCAGCTGTTTAAGGAAGGAGGCAGGGGCAGCAGACTGGGGTGAAATCTGAAGAGGTCAGGCCTGAATGCTGGAGGCTAGAAAACCAATACATTCTGAGGGAAGAAAAAGAAGCAAAAATAACCAATGCACAGTTAAAATAGGAAAGACAGATGACTCTGGGCAAAATGGGAATTCACAACTGATCCAGCTTCTCCCTTCTAGTGACATGGATCTCTGCATTGAGAAAAAGTGCTTTTTTTCTTTCTTTTGAAGGAGGACACGTTTCTTTTATTGATTCAGTCTATAGCCCCTTGCAGAACTCTCTGATTCTGATCAGGCCCTGGGCTCCGTGCTCTATGGTGGAGACCAGGAGAGAAGGGCAGCAAGATGGAGACCTGGATCTGAGAAGTGGGGCTGAGAAGCATGGGCCCCTAAAGCCTGAAAATTCTGAGCAGACTGTGGTCAGGCCAGATAGGAGTAGACCAAGAGCCAGGGAAGTCTAAAAAATGTCTTGATTAGTTGGTCTGAGCAAACCCTGGGAGTGCAAGGGACCTGGCCATGTGTAGGTAGCAAGAACAGCCCTGGAAAGACTCCAGAGTAGAAATGGGCAGCATTGGGTTGGAGAATGAGAAACTGCAGACCAACATGCAGGAAGGGAAGCAGGGCCAGGCTGGGCGCAAGGAGAGCACCCAGATCTGGAGGGTCGGGCCCAGGGCAAGGATCTGATCTCTTCAGAGCATTGAGAGTCAGGAAGTGGCTGAGCAAGACCTGAACCCGGGTTGCAGTGGGACAGAGGAGGGACTGGGAGGAGGTCCAATAGAGGCCAAACGGGGGTGGAGATGAGAGCGCTCAAAGAGAGTTGCTGACGCAGGCTTCTGTGGGGAGCAGCTGTAATGGCGGAGAGGTAGGGCTTGGCGAGCCTGCCTGGAGAAGCCAGGCATGGTCATCATGGTGCCTCCTCATAGGCTCAACCTCTGGAGAATCTTCTTCACCCACGGAAATTTGGGGTTGGCGCAGATCTCCCGATCCTTGAAGGTTTGCAAGCTGGAGGGAGGAAACGCAGGCAGACATGTGCCAGCATTAGCATCCAGCAAGGATGTGAGCTTTTGCATTTATGAGCCACCTGCTGTATGCAGGGTCTCAGCATTAATAGGCCACTTCCTGTATGTGGGAACCTGCTTTGTAGAGTGGTGTACCTACTGTGCATGGAGCTTAGCAGTTTAGTCAGCTGTTGTATGTTGGAGGATCTGCTATATAGAGTATTTCAAAATTTATAAGCCACCTGCTGCATGCAAACCTTATTTCTTAAGGAGAATGAGAGGATGAGAATAGCAAGGATCCTCCAGGACCCCGAGGTCTTCCAGGACCCTTGGGCCCTCAGCTCCAGCCTTGAGAGTTTGGCTACGCCCTGGTTTAGGATCCCCAAGAGTCTCATAAAATCACTGTCATTGTCATGAGAAAGAGAGTATTGGTTTGTTTGTTTGTTTGTTTGTTTTTGGCACCGGGGATCAAACTCAGGACCTTGCATTTGCAAGGCAGGTGGCAGCACCACTGAGCTAAATCCCCAGCCCTGGAAAGAGTATTGGGCAGTGGCCAAACACATGGACTTTGAGGCCATCTCTCAGGATTCAAATGCTAGCTCTGCCACTTGTTATTAACTAACTTCACTTATCTAAGCCTCAGTTTCCACATCAGTGAAATGAGTATAATATTCCTAGTCTAACCTTATGGGACGTTGATGAAGTTTTGATGAGTTAATGCACACTAAAGTCTCAGAAAAGTATACACTACTCAGTGCTACAGCACACTATAGGTGCGACATAATTGTGCTAGCAGCTAGCCTGAACTTTTTATGTGGATTTTCTGAATACTTATATTCAATCCATTTATAGCCCCTATTATTCAACCCATTGTATAAGGAAACTGAGGCCCACTGAGGTAAGGCAGCTTGTCTGAGTACCAGGCCTGGTGAGATCTGAGGCATTGTGCTGGGAACCCAGACTGTCCCAGCAATGGCCCTGGAAAGTGTTCCCTTCTCTAAGACCTTGCATGGGAGGAGAGGGGGACTCTGACCCAGGGCCACAGTGAATTACAGGCTGAGGCTCCTGCCAGTGCCCACAGCCATCAACAGCGGGCTGGGCCCTGGATACCTGAATTGCTGTGCCAGGCAGTGAGCTCTTCACCTCCTACACCAGCACCCCACCCTGTAGCTACAGACTGCCCATGCTGAGTGGCACCTTGTGCATTCAGCTCTGTGACCTCAGCCTGGCCTGTCGCCTGGCACATAGTAGGTGTCCAGTCATACTGTCGAATGATCCAGCCCATCATCTTTGTTCTAGGAACAGTCAAGCTCTCTTCCAGCCAAGCCTCCATGAAGAGCCCCAGCTGCCGCTCCCTCCCTTCTCCAGGCCTGCCCCCCACTCTCGGGCACCGCACCCACCAAGGTCCCATGGTTGGCCCCCTACTCACACGACTCCAGGTCTGCGGCAGGAGTCCGAGGTCCAGTAGAAGCTCTTCACCACACGCGGCGGCAGGGGTCGGAGGACGAAGTCCCGGCAGCAGATGCTGTCCTCCACATTGGCAGCATAGGGCCCTGGAGGAGGGGAACAGAGGGTCACCTTTGGCCACAAACCCAACCAGGGCCCCCTGGGCTCTGAGGAAGAGTTTCTGTCTCCACCGGAAAGATGGTGACCAGAAGATTCTGGGCCAGCAAAAACCCTAGCATTGGGGCCTCTGAGAAGCCATGAAAGCATCAATGTCTGCATTCTGGGAAGGTCTGCTACAAGCAGTAGATTCAAAATGTGCATCAACAATAAACTTCCAGGTGGATTTGATGGTGCAAACTTGTAATCCCAGCACTTGTGAGGCTGAGGCAGGAGGATCTCTGTGAATTGGGGGCCAGCCTGGGCTACATAGTGAATTCAAAGCCAGTCTGAACCACATAGTGAGACCCTTTCTCAAAAAAAGGGAAATCAACCAAACCCCAATAAGTTGTTAGGTGGGTTTTAGCCTCTCTGAGCCAGACACAGAGCCTTAAATTTTGCTGCTGTTCAGGCCTCAGCCCCAGGCTCACAAATTCTGTGTGTTTTTTTTTTTTTTTTTTTTTTTTTTTTTTTTTTTGAGTGGTACTGGGAGATTGAACTACTGTACATCCTCAGCCCTTTTAAATTTTCATTTGGAGACAGAGTCTGGCTAAGTCATTAAATTGCCCAGGATGACCCTTGCAATCCTCCTGCCTCAGCATCCAGAGTAGCTGGGATCATAGGTATGCAGGACTGTACCTGGCCATGTGCTTCCCATGTAATATTTGGGAAGTTTGCTAAGTTCTTGTCTACGCTCACCTGCTTCCTTGTGTAAAGGCAAGGCTGTGGTCCAGAGAAGGGGCAGCACTTGTAGGACAGAGGGTCAGATGGGGACAGTCCCATAGTCCTGGACAGTAGTCCTGCTCTGTCCTGAGCTACTGGGCCACAATGGCCATGACATTTAACATCTCCAAAGCCCAATTTTCTGCTCTGACCAAACCTCTAGAGTAACAGCTACTTGGAGAGCTTTCACACATTCTGATAGCCAGGGAAGCACACAGAAAGCCAGGGCCTGTGCACAGCGTGGTCTGGCTTTCGACTCCCTCTTTAGCCCATGCTCCCCAACCCAGCATGAGCGGGGGAGTCTGCAGTGCGATGAAGAGGACCCACACCCCAGGTAAGGACAGGATCCAAGCAAAGGTCCTCCACCTTCCTCCACTCAGGCCAGACGACCCGGGCTCCCCACATCTCCAGGCCCTGCCCCCCACAATGCCCAACCCTACTGAGCCAGATCCTGGAGGCCAAGCCCGTAAGACTTCCCACTTAACAGATGTGTAAACTGAGGCCTAAAGAAGCACCATGAACTACCCCAAGTGCCACAAGAGCCAGTGGCAGACTGGGGTCCAGTGCCCTTGCTAGGAGAAGAGGAAGACACCCTGGTCCCCAGCCTCACCTGCGTCGGTTGCCTGAAGCATCACCGAAAGGAGGATGAGGGCAGCCAGGAGTGGAGCCTTCAGGCCAGCCATGCTGAGCTGTCCCAGTCCTGGTGTCAGACGGCCAGAGGACAGGCAGGCCTGGTATTTAAACACCTCACTCCACCCTCCACCCACCAGGCTCAAGCAACTCTTAGTCACCCTTGAGCCTAAGTCTCTGACATTCATTTCATGAAAGAAAGTCCCTGCTTCCTCTGAATAGAAACTCTGGTGGGGAACCACTCCAAGGGGACCCCCATCCTGGCCTAACTCTGAGTCTCCAGAGACTTGCAAAATCCCCCTTGAGCTGGGCCTCCTGGGGACCATGTCCCCAGGGTCTGCCCGCGTCGGGACCCCGAGGCCTCTGGGACAGGCTTCCCCAGGTGACAGGGGATGTGGTGCGGCCTGATCCACTGGCCTCAGGGGCTGTCTGTGAACCAAGCATGGACATGGATGAATGTCCACCTCGAATCGAGGGTTGTCTGCTGCCTGGATGACTGGTGTTTCCATCTCTCCTCAAAGATAGAGGCCTCTGGACCATGGCACTGGTCTCTGCTACCTCTGCTGGCCTCACAAAGTGTGTAGAGCTTCTGCCTTCCTCCTCACTCCTCCTCAAGCTACCGCAGGTCTCACTAACTGCTGTCCAGCTGTCCCTCGGCCCTGTCTTCTTTCTCCTTCCCCACTGGCCCTCCACCTCAGGACTGGAACTCCCTCGATCCCCTCCCTACGCTGTGGCAGGCCCTGCGAATGGTCCAGACTCAAAGCTGCACACCCCTCTCTCCTGCCCCACAGCCGTCCTGTGGCTCCCATTCACCTGAGAACAGAGCCCAGACCCCTGGCTGTGGCCTTCAGGGCCTCTTTTCCCGGCACTCCTTAATAAATACTCCCAAACACACAGTCTCCATTTTCTGAGTGATCACACCGCATCATTCACAGTTCCCCAAAAAGGTCTGTGGCCAGGCCGTGACTGCAAATTCTACTTTCTACTTCTCTACCACATACACTCCTACTCATACATCAAGAGTCATTTGAAATGTTACCTCTTAGGTAAGCTCACCCCCTCAGGACTGCACACTTCCCAAGTGACCCAGACTTGGCCTTGAGCAGACCATGTCATGCTTTCTCTTTTTCAGGCTCCTTCTCAGATGTGGAATTCCAAGCTCTTGGAAGATGAGTCTCACCTTTTCTTTTTCTTGGCATCTCTGAGTGCCTTCCAGGAATCAGATAGGTGGTCGGGAGCTCAGAGCACAAATAATGATTGGGGAAGCTTGGTACCAGAGGGACGGGTCATACAGCTGCATGGTGCCTGAGCCAGGCCTGGACACTGAAGCTCAGGATTCCACTGTTAAGGACACCCAATCATCCTTTATTCATTTGCTCAGCAAGCTATTTACTGATCCCTGTGGTAGACTCATGGTTCTCTCTAGAAATCCACATCCTGACCACCCCCCCAAACCTGCAAATATGGCACCTTCGATGAGGAAAAAGCCTCTGCAACGTGATTAAGTCAAGGATCTTCCAACACAGAGATGTCCTGGTGCCGAGAGCAAATGGGATGACAGAGCAGAGGCTGCAGGGCTACAAACCCAGACAGCAGGAGGCCTGGGGGTGCTGGCGAAGATGAGCAAGCAGAGTTTAACCTAGGAAGGAACCTGGCCCACCAATGCCTCCATTCTACGAGGCTGCTTTCAGACTTCTGGCCTCCTGAACTATGCCATGAGAAACGTGGGTCCCTTAAAGCCCTGCATTTTTGTAGTTTGTCACAGAAGCAAAAGGAGACTAAGACAAGAACGTACTGTGTGCCCGGTGTGCTGCCAAGAATGGGAGAGCAGAGCCTGGCCTTCCTGGCACTGGCCTTCGACACAGGCCACGGTCAAATGCCAACCCAGAGCTGTGATGAGGGCCGTGGAGAAAATGAAACAGGGAAGCACGGGCAGACAGAGGGGAAGCAGCTCCGCGAGGCCACTTGGGAAAGGCCTCAGGACGGTGACATTCAAGCTGAACCCACAAGGTAGGAAGGAGGCTGCCAGGCAGGAATTGGTGAGGGCAAAGGCCCTGGGGGTGAGAGGATGGTGAACCAGGGCAGCCAGACATGAGAGGCTGCCAGGAAGGGTCCCCCAGGTGGCCCACGAGCTCCGGCCCAGAATGAAAAGTGAAGGGCACAGCACGTCCTCAGAGGACCTCTTATCCCCAGGGCCAGCCACAAAGGTCAAAGCCATTCCATTGCTGAGCTCCCTAAGCAGCTAAATCCACATAGACAGAAGTGGGGTGGGGTGGCCAGGGCTGGAGAGGGGCCACAGCAGTTAGTGTTTAGTGGGGACAGAGTCTCAGTTTTGCAAGATGCCAAGTTCTGGAGATGGATGATGGTAACAGTTGCACAAGAGTGTGAATGTACTTAGTGCCACCACATTGTACACTTAAAAATGGCTGAGGTGGTAAATGTCTGTCATGCATATTTTACCAATAAAAGCAGTGTCCCTCTAGACTGGCATGGTGGTTAACACCCATAGTCACAGCCTGCAGCAGGCTGAGGCATGAGAACTGCAAGTTCAGGTCTACAGGACTACAGGAAGAGATCTGTCTCAAAAATTAAAAATTAAAAAAGTTTAAGGCATTTCCTCCTCCTCACCAATCAAATCAAGGCTCTACTGCAATTTTTTAAAAATACAGGAATTTTGAGATAAATGAACCCATGATCACACAACCTAGAAAGTGGGACCTTCAGATCTAGCTGAGCTGTCCCAGTCCTGGTGTCAGACGGCCAGAGGACAGGCAGGCCTGGTATTTAAACACCTCACTCCACCCTCCACCCACCAGGCTCAAGCAACTCTTAGTCACCCTTGAGCCTAAGTCTCTGACATTCATTTCATGAAAGAAAGTCCCTGCTTCCTCTGAATAGAAACTCTGGTGGGGAACCACTCCAAGGGGACCCCCATCCTGGCCTAACTCTGAGTCTCCAGAGACTTGCAAAATCCCCCTTGAGCTGGGCCTCCTGGGGACCATGTCCCCAGGGTCTGCCCGCGTCGGGACCCCGAGGCCTCTGGGACAGGCTTCCCCAGGTGACAGGGGATGTGGTGCGGCCTGATCCACTGGCCTCAGGGGCTGTCTGTGAACCAAGCATGGACATGGATGAATGTCCACCTCGAATCGAGGGTTGTCTGCTGCCTGGATGACTGGTGTTTCCATCTCTCCTCAAAGATAGAGGCCTCTGGACCATGGCACTGGTCTCTGCTACCTCTGCTGGCCTCACAAAGTGTGTAGAGCTTCTGCCTTCCTCCTCACTCCTCCTCAAGCTACCGCAGGTCTCACTAACTGCTGTCCAGCTGTCCCTCGGCCCTGTCTTCTTTCTCCTTCCCCACTGGCCCTCCACCTCAGGACTGGAACTCCCTCGATCCCCTCCCTACGCTGTGGCAGGCCCTGCGAATGGTCCAGACTCAAAGCTGCACACCCCTCTCTCCTGCCCCACAGCCGTCCTGTGGCTCCCATTCACCTGAGAACAGAGCCCAGACCCCTGGCTGTGGCCTTCAGGGCCTCTTTTCCCGGCACTCCTTAATAAATACTCCCAAACACACAGTCTCCATTTTCTGAGTGATCACACCGCATCATTCACAGTTCCCCAAAAAGGTCTGTGGCCAGGCCGTGACTGCAAATTCTACTTTCTACTTCTCTACCACATACACTCCTACTCATACATCAAGAGTCATTTGAAATGTTACCTCTTAGGTAAGCTCACCCCCTCAGGACTGCACACTTCCCAAGTGACCCAGACTTGGCCTTGAGCAGACCATGTCATGCTTTCTCTTTTTCAGGCTCCTTCTCAGATGTGGAATTCCAAGCTCTTGGAAGATGAGTCTCACCTTTTCTTTTTCTTGGCATCTCTGAGTGCCTTCCAGGAATCAGATAGGTGGTCGGGAGCTCAGAGCACAAATAATGATTGGGGAAGCTTGGTACCAGAGGGACGGGTCATACAGCTGCATGGTGCCTGAGCCAGGCCTGGACACTGAAGCTCAGGATTCCACTGTTAAGGACACCCAATCATCCTTTATTCATTTGCTCAGCAAGCTATTTACTGATCCCTGTGGTAGACTCATGGTTCTCTCTAGAAATCCACATCCTGACCACCCCCCCAAACCTGCAAATATGGCACCTTCGATGAGGAAAAAGCCTCTGCAACGTGATTAAGTCAAGGATCTTCCAACACAGAGATGTCCTGGTGCCGAGAGCAAATGGGATGACAGAGCAGAGGCTGCAGGGCTACAAACCCAGACAGCAGGAGGCCTGGGGGTGCTGGCGAAGATGAGCAAGCAGAGTTTAACCTAGGAAGGAACCTGGCCCACCAATGCCTCCATTCTACGAGGCTGCTTTCAGACTTCTGGCCTCCTGAACTATGCCATGAGAAACGTGGGTCCCTTAAAGCCCTGCATTTTTGTAGTTTGTCACAGAAGCAAAAGGAGACTAAGACAAGAACGTACTGTGTGCCCGGTGTGCTGCCAAGAATGGGAGAGCAGAGCCTGGCCTTCCTGGCACTGGCCTTCGACACAGGCCACGGTCAAATGCCAACCCAGAGCTGTGATGAGGGCCGTGGAGAAAATGAAACAGGGAAGCACGGGCAGACAGAGGGGAAGCAGCTCCGCGAGGCCACTTGGGAAAGGCCTCAGGACGGTGACATTCAAGCTGAACCCACAAGGTAGGAAGGAGGCTGCCAGGCAGGAATTGGTGAGGGCAAAGGCCCTGGGGGTGAGAGGATGGTGAACCAGGGCAGCCAGACACGAGAGGCTGCCAGGAAGGGTCCCCCAGGTGGCCCACGAGCTCCGGCCCAGAATGAAAAGTGAAGGGCACAGCACGTCCTCAGAGGACCTCTTATCCCCAGGGCCAGCCACAAAGGTCAAAGCCATTCCATTGCTGAGCTCCCTAAGCAGCTAAATCCACATAGACAGAAGTGGGGTGGGGTGGCCAGGGCTGGAGAGGGGCCACAGCAGTTAGTGTTTAGTGGGGACAGAGTCTCAGTTTTGCAAGATGCCAAGTTCTGGAGATGGATGATGGTAACAGTTGCA